CGTAAACAATTCGGAAGCATCCTCCCAGAAATCCGGCACAATCCGTAAACAATCCGGAAACCTCCTTCCCAAAATCCGGTAAAAATCCGTAAACAATCCGGAAGCCTCCTCCCCAAAATCCGGGAAAAAATTGGCAACAATGCGGAAACCTCCTCTCCAAAATCCGGTAAAAATCCGTAAACAATCCGGAAGCCTCCTCCGCACAATGCGGTAAAAATCCGTAAACAATCCGGAAGCCTCCTCCCCAAAATCCGGTAAAAATCCGTGAGCAATCCGGCAGCCTCCTCCCCAAAATCCGGTAAAATTCCGTAAGCAATCCGGAAGCCTCCTCCCCAAAATCCGGTAAAAATCCGCAAACAATCCGGAAGTCTCCTCCCCAAAATCCGGTCAAATTCCGTCAGCAATCCGGAAGCCTCCTCCCCAAAATCCGGTAAAAATCCGTAAACAAACCGGAAGCCCTCTCCCCAAAATCCGGTAAAAATCCGTAAGCAATCCGTAAGCCTGCTCCACCAAATTCGGTAAAATTCCGTTTGGGGAGGAGGCTTACGGATTGTTTACGAATTTTTTCCGGATTTTGGGAAGGAGGCGTCCGGATTGTTTACGGATTTTTACCGGATTTTGGCAAGGAGGCTTCCCGATTGTTTACGGATTTTTTAACGATTTTGGGGAGGAGGCTTCCGGATGCTTCCGGATTGTGTACGGATTTTTACCGGAGTTTGTGGAGGAGGCTTCCGGATTAAGGCCGGATTTCTACCGGATTTTGGGGAGGAGGCTTACGGATTGTTTACGGATTTGTACCGGATTTTGGGGAGGAGGCTTCCGGATTGTTTACGGTTTTTTACCGGATTTTGGGGAGGAGGCTTCCGGATTTTTTACGGATTTTTACCGGATTTTCGTAAAGGCTTCCCGATTGTTTACGGTTTTTTACCGGATTTTGGGGAGGAGGCTTCCGGATTTTTCACGGATTTTTCCCGGATTTTGGGGAAAAGGCTTCCCGATTGTTTACAGATTTTTACCGGATTTTGGGGAGGAGGCTTCCGGTTTGTTTACGGATTTTTACCGGATTTTGGGGAGGAGGCTTCCGGATTGCTGACGGAATTTGACCGGATCTTGGGTAGGGAGACTTCCGGATTGTTTGCGGATTTTAACCGGATTTTGAGGAGGAGGCTTCCGGATTGTTTACGGATTTTTACCGGATTGTGGGGAGGAGGCTTCCGGATTGTTTACGGAATTTTACCGAATTTGGTGGAGCAGGCTTACGGATTGTTTACGGATTTTTACCTTGATCTGGGGGATGAGGCTTACGGATTGTTTCCGAAATTTTACCGAATTTGGAGGAGGAGGCTTCCGGATTGTTTACGGATTTTTACCGGATTTTGGGGAAAACGCTTCCCGATTGTTTACAGATTTTTACTGGATTTTGGGGAGGAGGCTTCCGGATTGCTTACGGATTTTTACCGGATTTTGGGGAAAAGGCTTCCCGATTGTTTACAGATTTTTACTGGATTTTGGGGAGGAGGCTTCCGGATTGCTTACGGACTTTGACCGGATTTTGGGGAGGAGGCTTCCGGATTGTTTACGGATTTTTACCGGATTTTGGGGAAAAGGCTTCCCGATTGTTTACAGATTTTTACTGGATTTTGGGGAGGAGGCTTCCGGATTGTTTACGGATTTTCACCGGATTTTGGGGAGGAGGCTTCCGGATTGCTGACGGAATTTGACCGGATCTTGGGTAGGAAGACTTCCGGATTGTTTACGGATTTTAACCGGATTTTGAGGAGGAGGCTTCCGGATTGTTTACGGATTTTTACCGGATTGTGGGGAGGAGGCTTCCGGATTGTTTACGGAATTTTACCGAATTTGGTGGAGCAGGCTTACGGATTGTTTACGGATTTTTACCTTGATCTGGGGGATGAGTCTTACGGATTGTTTCCGAAATTTTACCGAATTTGGAGGAGGAGGCTCACGGATTTACCGAATTTGGAGGCGGAGGCTTACGGATTTGGAGGCGGACTGGGGAAGTCTGGGTGCTGAAACCTTGAAGCAACAGCCACCTTCGATTGGCGGAAAAAGCCTTGCTAATTGTTTATGGATTGGGACTAAGTAAGAAGCTGACTTGGGCTACACTGGGCTGAGGCTGAGATAGCTTGGGCTACACTGGGCTGAGATAGCTTACACTGGGCTGAGATAGCTTACACTGGGCTGAGATAGCTTACACTGGGCTGAGATAGCTACACTGGGCTGAGATAGCTTACACTGGGCTGAGATAGCTTACACTGGGCTGAGATAGCTTACACTGGGCTGAGATAGCTTGGGCTACACTGGGCTGAGATAGCTTGGGCTACACTGGGCTGAGATAGCTTGGGCTACACTGGGCTGAGATAGCTTGGGCTACACTGGGCTGAGATAGCTTGGGCTACACTGGGCTGAGATAGCTTGGGCTACACTGGGCTGAGATAGCTTGGGCTACACTGGGCTGAGATAGCTTGGGCTACACTGGGCTGAGATAGCTTGGGCTACACTGGGCTGAGATAGCTTGGGCTACACTGGGCTAAGATAGCTATAGCTGAGATAGCTACACGGCAAGTTTGGTTTGATTAGTGGCGATTAGTGGGCAAATTTGGTTTGATTAGTGGCGATTAGTGGCAAATTTTTGAACAAATCATCAATTGAACAAGGTATGCGCTACTCGTGCTACCCTCTTGTCGTGGTTTTTTATATCTTGTCGTGGTATAGATTCCACTGTCGTGGTATGACCCAACACCTTCAAATACCCCCTTTGAAATGAAAACAAAACTGTTGAATGGCATGTGTATGTCATTATATCATTATATCTATGATATTTCTCTGTGAAAAAGGTTCGACTTAAGGCATGACCCAACCGACTTTTGATCTTTCCAGGATCAGCTACAGACTATCTCGGCCAATGGAAGATCTTCGTGTATAGATAACAGATATAGATATAGATATTAGATATAGATATATATATATATATGTGTGTGTGTATTCTTGTATGTATTAGTCAGTATAGTATTAGTATTAGTATTAGTATTAGTATTAGTATTAGTATTATTATTAGTATTAGTATTAGTATTAGTATGAGTATGAGTATAAGAATGACTATAAGTATGAGTATTAGTATTAATATGGTATATGGTGTATGGTGTATGGTGTGTGGTGTAGTATGGTATTAGTCATTATTACATACATACATATACTGACACTTGCAGGATCCTCCAGTGCTTTAAGCTGGCAATGGAAAATCACCCATATGATTCTCACCTGATCCTCCCATTTTCGCCTGTGACTGGCCCTCCTCCCTGTCACGGATCTCGCGCTTCAGCTCCGTCTTGGCTTCCCGAAGGTCCTGGCAGCGGCCATGGCCCAACCATTGGTGAGCGGTTAAATCACCATTTTCCTATGGTAAATTACCATTTTCCTATGGTTAAATTGCCATTTTCCTATGGTAAATCATCATGTTCCTATGGTTAAATTACCATTTTCCTATGGTAAATCACCATATTCCTATGGTAAATCACCATTTTCCTATGGTTAAATTACCATTTTCCTATGGTAAATCACCATGTTCCTATGGTTAAATTACCATTTTCCTATGGTAAATCACCATATTCCTATGGTAAATCACCATTTTCCTATGGTTAAATTACCATTTTCCTATGGTAAATTACAATTTTCCTATGGTAAATCACCATTTTCCTATGGTAAATCACCATTTACCAAAGGGTAAACCCATAATTACCATTGGTTCACCATCACCCCAACGTGCGACGCCAAAGAGTTGGGGAGTTTCGACCTGAAGTAGGGCACTCTCGGCCTTCATCCGCTGCCTCGAAATAGAGGCTGCCACTGTGAAAGTGCCCCAGTTCAAGCCATGAAAACGAAGTCATGGTGATTTTGCTGACGGATTTCAGAGGAGTTCATGGTTTTTTGTTGGTTTCAGACTTCAACATATTTCGATGGGGATGGGTCAAGTTATGAAATGACCAGACTGGGGGAATCATCATCATCATCATCATCATCATCATCATCATCCATAAATCCCAGTTATGACCTAGGCTACCTAGGACCTAGGCTACCAAGCTTTGAGATTCCATGGCTCGCTCCCGGCTCGCTCCCTTGGTGCCGGGCTGTTCGGCCCATTCCAGGCGCTCCGCGTGCTCGAGGAGCTGGGAAGAGAGTTGGCTGCCCTGAGCCTCAAAAAAAGTGCAACATCCCAAGAAAACATGGGGGAAATGGGGACTATAACTGTTATATTTCTATGACATGGACATGAATATATGGGATATTGCACAGCTATATAGATATGATACCAATATTTGGGCATATCAATGGTAAGTATTGGGATATTGGGATATGTTCTGGAGTATGGACATGAATAATATGGGATATCAATTGGGATGTGTTATGGCGGCCGAAGCAAGGGGGCGCGATAGGGAATGTATGTGTGTGTATATATATATATATATATGGCAGTGTGTCAAAACCTTGTACCCCTGGTGAACATTAAAATAGCTGGTAAATGGATGTTCATCCCACTAAAAATTGTATTAATAGGTATTGATCCATACCCATATATGTATATATATATATATATATACAAACAGATATGAACTGACCATACTTTATGGCTTTTTAATCTTAATTGGGATATTTAATGGGATATCAACTGACCAGGATCTATGGATTTTTACATGATAAACTATCCAAGCATATATGATCATATATGATAGAGGGTGTTGGGATATAATCTGACCAAGCATTGCCAAGCATATAAACGTTATGTAAATGAAAAATAGGATAGAAATGGGTGTTTCAAATTGGACAACCAATAAAAGAATGACATTTTGGGATAGTTACACCAATCCCAATCATCATTCCAGTGACATCACAGTGAGATCGGGTGTAAAAAAATGGAAAAGTTAGGAAAAGTTATTGTTTATGATATCCCCTCAAAAACAGGTCCCTGCCCTGAGAATGGAACTCCGCTGAGAAATCAGTTTATGGAGTTTCGGTAGCCGGGCGTCACCAAGCTCGGCACCTTGCGCTCTTGACATTCCTGTTGAAGTTCCTGGCGAATCCGGACGTGTGCCATATAAGGATAATCCCTGCAAAATCCCTAAAATCAACCATAAAAGATCAAAAAAAAAACCTTTCAAACATGATATCCATTCTGACCAAGTATAATCCCTTCAAAAGAAAGAAATGTGGAAATTCACGTGACCCATGGTGACCAGCCAAGCGGTTGGTTGTCAAACCAGGTGGTAACCTGGTATATTCATCCAGACTCACATGGAGATGGAACATCCACCATGTTTAGGTCACGTCCGAACAGGAAAGCCATGGATTTCCCATTGCCATGCTGGATTGTTGTGGACTCAATGCCCTTGTCAGGATCATACTCCATGTGTCATCAAAATCTTGAAGCTGTTGTACTTTGCTGCTCAAGGAACTCAAGGAATTGCAACTCTCTGATGATTCTGAGTCAAAATGTCCAATCTATGCCAACTCCATGTACAACATGTGTTTTCACCTCTGAAGGTGGTGATATCATGTGATATCACATGTTTTCTGAGGATAAAAAAAATGCATCTCTGAAATTGAACATGACGAAAAAAAACAAGTGACCAAAATTTCACAGAAAGTCATCTTCCATCATCTCCAAACTATCTTTTTTCTAGGTGGTATGGGGTTCCAATGGGTTCCATGTGAGTTTTCCGGGTTCTCCTTGGAAACCCTTGGAAACCCCCGGACACCGCGGCTTTCTCCCCACCTGTCGTGCTTGAGACACCAAATTTTCCACCTGCGTGCGGCACAAAGATTTGGATTTGAGCCACAGAAATCAGGGTTGTAACAACAAAAACTGGGGGGTTAACCAACAAGAATGATCGAAAACGTGGATTTAACCAACAAAAATTGCGATTTGCAACAAACAAAACTGGCGATGCTCACCAACAAAAATTGCAAAAAGAATGGGAATATCCTAAATAACCAGCAAGAATTGGGACTTCACCAACCAAACTGGAGAAATTTGCTAGCAAAAAATTGGGAATATATGGTGATATTATGAATGAGCCAGGAAAATTATATGGAAAATACAATAATCAGATATCCAACAAAAACGCGGGGAGGTTACCCATTCAAATGTTGTTTGATGCAGGTACTAGTATCAACAGAAGTATACAAATATTGGGAGTCGTACCATCAAAAAACAGGGGATATGCTGGGATCGGGAGTGAGATTCGGGAATCTCCACCAAAAACTGTGGATTTCACCAAGAGAAGCAGCAACTGAGGCAAGGCTCCATGAGTTGATAGCACTGAGGTGCCCAATTTGACCCCCAGATGTTCCTGAATTTGCCAATTGCTCGTAGCTAGTGCATCACCCCATCATGCCTACTCCAGCTAAGTAAAAAAAAAAAGCAACTTTAGGGAATATCCCGATCCCGATAGGGGTTTATCATGGTTTATCGGGTCAAAAAACTCCAAAAAGAGGTAAAAATCTGGTCAAAATGGTCAATGGTCACTCTATGTGCTATTGGAAAATGGCAATCGTGGCTGGTCGCCCACTTGAAGACGCCTCGGAGGTCTTGGATTGCCTCTGTTGAACCTGCCCAGTATCCGGTCATCACCGCTATTCCCAAGTTGCATCCATTTGCTTCAAGCCAACATGACTAGAGATCACAGAGTTTGCCCTTAAAAATTTCTATGATCATAGATATCATAGATTTCATGAGTTTTTGGATGACTTTTTACCACTTCGAAGTGTGGAATTCTGCCACCATCACTGGCCTGGGAGAGGTCGCTTTGCACCACCTCTGTGGTCAAATCGGGGATGGTTTATTTATGGTTTATGGTTTACCGCCATAGGTCTCAAACACAGTCCCAAAGTATATTGAAGGACAGGGAAGTCCTCCTTCAAGTTGACCATCCCCCCACAACGACACAACCAACTCAGGACCTTGGTACGGAAAGTGTATGAAGCCTCTGGAATGAGGGCCCCATCATAGGCCCCGAAAATACCCAGCAATCCTGGATTCGTTCCATCGGAATATAGAGTGACCATGGCAGTTAAGAAGGGGTTTACCCTGTCCCTGCAGTGGGGGGAACTCAGAATGCTAACCACTTAGAATCACAAGCGATTGGAGCTGAATCACCCTCCCACTATATTCAGTGAAATGTTACCCCACTTGATATAGTGGGTACTTACCCCACTTGATATAGTGGGTACTTACCCCACTTGATATAATGGGTACTTGCCCCACTTGATATAGTGGGTACTTTCCCCACTTGATATAGTGGGCACTTGCCACACTTGATATAGTGGGTACTTTACCCCACTTGATATAGTGGGTACTTTACCCCATTTAATATAGTGGGTACTTTACCCCACTTGATATAGTGGGTACTCTACCCCACTTGATATAGTGGGTACTTTACCCCACTTGATATCACTTGATATAGTGGGTACTTACCCCACTTGATATAGTGGGTACTTACCCCACTTGATATAGTGGGTACTTACCCCACTTGATATAGTGGGTACTTACCTCACTTGATATCGTGGGTACTTTACCCCACTTGATATAGTGGGTACTTACCCCACTTGATATCACTTGATATAGTGGGTACTTACCCCACTTGATATAGTGGGTACTTCCCCCATTTGATATAGTGGGTACTTACCCCACTTGATATAGTGGGTACTTACCCCACTTGATAATAGTGGGTACTTACCTTAGTTGATACATAGTGGGTACTTACCCCCAGTTCATATAGTGGGTACTTTCCCCACTTGATATAGTGGGTACTTACCCCACTTGATATAGTGGGTACTTACCCCACTTGAGATAGTGGGTACTTTCCCCACTTGATATAGTGGGTACTTACCCCACTTGATATAGTGGGTAATTACCCCACTTGATGTAGTGGGTACTTACCCCACTTGATATAGTGGGTACTTTCCCCAGTTCATATAGTGGGTACTTACCCCACTTGATATAGTGGGTACTTACCCATATCGTGGGTACTTACCCCACTTGATAATAGTGGGTACTTACCCCAGTGGATATATAGTGGGTACTTACCCCCAGTTCATATAGTGGGTACTTTCCCCACTTGATATAGTGGGTACTTACCCCACTTGATATAGTGGGTACTTACCTCACTTGATATAGTGGGTACTTACCCCACTTGATAATAGCGGGTAATTACCCCACTTGATGTAGTGGGTACTTACCCCACTTGATATAGTGGGTACTTTCCCCAGTTCATATAGTGGGTACTTACCCCACTTGATATAGTGGGTACTTACCCATATCGTGGGTACTTACCCCACTTGATAATAGTGGGTACTTACCCCAGTGGATATATAGTGGGTACTTACCCCCAGTTCATATAGTGGGTACTTTCCCCACTTGATATAGTGGGAAAGAGGAGGGAGGGAAGTAGAGGGAATGAGATAAACAAACATGTGCAAGGTGCAAGAGGGGACAGAGGGTGGAAGCAAGGGGGAAAAAAGGGAACACGCGCGCAGAACGCATAAAAGAGGGAAAAGATAAGAGGTCAGGTAAGGGGGGAAGCAGAGGAAAAAGGGGAGTGGGTACTTACCCCACTTGATATAGTGGGTACTTACCTCACTTGATATCGTGGGTACTTACCCCACTTGATAATAGTGGGTACTTTCCCCACTTGATATAGTGGGTACTTACCCCACTTGATATAGTGCGTACTTACCCCAGTTGATAATAGTGGGTACTTACCCCAGCTGATAATATTGGGTACTTACCCCACTTGATAATAGTAGGTACTTACCCCAGTTGATATATAGTGGGTACTTTACCCCACTTGATATAGTGGGTACTTACCCCACTTGATATAGTGGGTACTTACCCCAGTTCATATAGTGGGTACTTTCCCCAGTTCATATACTGGGTACTTACCCCACTTGATATAGTGGGTACTTACCCATATCGTGGGTACTTACCCCACTTGATATAGTGGGTACTTACCCCACTTGATATAGTGGGTACTTACCCCACTTGCTTGATATAGTGGGTACTTACCCCACTTGATATAGTGGGTACTTACCCCACTTGATATAGTGGGTACTTCCCCCATTTGATATAGTGGGTACTTACCCCACTTGATATAGTGGGTACTTACCCCACTTGATATAGTGGGTACCTACCCCACTTGATATAGTGGGTACTTACCCCACTTGATATAGTGGGTACTTACCCCACTTGATATATTGGGTACTTACCCCACTTGATAGAGTGGGTACTTACCCCACTTGATATAGTGGTTACTTCCCCCATTTGATATCGTGGGTACTTACCCCACTTGATATAGTGGGTACTTACCCCACTTGATATAGTGGGTACTTTCCCCACTTGATATAGTGGGTACTTACCCCACTTGATATGGTGGGTACTTACCACACTTGATATAGTGGGTACTTACCCCACTTGATATAGTGGGTACTTACCCCACTTGATATGGTGGGTACTTACCCCACTTGGTATAGTGGGTACTTTACCCCACTTGGTATAGTGGGTACTTACCCCACTTGATATGGTTGGGCCTCCCGGCCCCAACGGCCACGCGCACGGATTCGTATTGCTCGTCCAGACCGCTGATGGCTTTACTGAGATTCGAGGCCTGGAAGTGGAGATCAGCAACGAAGAGAGGCCTGGATGCCTGGGGATGTTTGGATGCCTGGGGATGTTTGACGTAGTAAACTGGAAAATCACCAGTTTTTTACAGGTAAGTTATCATAAATCTTCTATGGATGGGCCGTGTTCTATAGCTATAATACATAACCATAGGGTGATGAGAGATAGGACCTACGCTTCTGAGGTACTGTAGCTCTAAAAATTAAAATGAGTCGGCTGCGGAAATACCAGTCCTTAAGCATTCACTTGTTACATGCGGAATGACTTAGGACAACCCCAGTTGGGAACCTTATGCAACTATGTTTACTCATTTTTTAGTTCAATCCTCAATTTCCCATCGAATCCCACTGAAATCTCCATGATTTCTTCACTGAAATCCTTGTTCCTGCCCATCCCAGGGGCTCCACCTCGCTCTTCAGCGATGCCAAGTCTTCCTCTGCCTGGACGATGCCACGTTTGACAAAGCGCCGGGTGCCACGACTTCACCACTTTGTGTAGAACTATATACCTATTAGATATTTATATGTATATATTTTTTTATACATACATAACATATATACATTATGTATGTGTAATACATATATATATATTGCATGTGCACGAATATATACATATTGTCCATGAATGTGTACTATGGGATCGAGGAGAGCACCAAGTCATTACCAAGTCATCTAGAATCTAGACAGCAACCCCGCAACCAAGAAATCTTGGGAGAATCAACCAACTAAGAAGGTCTATCAAGATATACTGGCTGGTGGTAGACCTACCCCTCTGAAAAATATGAGTTCGTCAGTTAGGATTATTACCAACTGACTATAACCAACCAGTATACCAACCAACTCTAAAAAGGTCAATTTCAAGAGATCATAAGATATCCATTGAGACAGGGAATCCCCCAACTGACCCGTGCCTGGCGCCAGCGTTCGGTTGAAATGGCCTTGACTCAGCAATCGCTGTGTGTTGCGTATATTTGTGTCCATTAAAACCACAAGAAAAAGGCGAAAAAGTTTGAAAAACCCATGATACATATACATATACATATACATATACAGATACATATACATATATAATAATCCATAATAATAAACCATGATCACCAGCCTTCCCATTTTTCCTGCAAGACCATTGCTTGCCCCTCGCGCCGAGCCACTGAGGTAGCAGGGGCTGGAGACGCCTGGCCACGTGCTCAAGGTGCCGTGAGGTTCGATCGCCGAGAATTTTCCTTAGCTAAAACCCCAATGATCATGGATTATCATGGATTATCATCATTTACAGATTGTCGTGGAATATTAATTATCACGGAATATGATCTTCCAAAACGATAAAATCATGGTGATTATGTGGAATTTTATTGTAATCATCATTTATTATGGTCCATGATGGATCATCATCCATATAAATAATGGTTTTGATAATCCATATAATCCATTTAATCGTTATTATAATCATTATTTTCATCATTATTTATAATGATGAAAAAAATGATGTTGAGATGGTTCTCCAAGTGCCGCTTCGCACCTTGGCATAGCTCTCGAGTCGTTGCTGTGGCAGTCGCCTTGGCGGTCTCGATCCACATTGCAAATTATACTTTGAGGGGGGGTAACTATAAATAAATGTTTCACGCCATGTTTGGAGAGATAACTTTGTGTATATATGTATATACGTATGTATATGTATATGTATATGTACATATATATATATATATACATGTGTATAAATATGTAAATATATAAATATATATATATGTTGTTAAATGTGTACATATATATATATATGTGATATGTATATATATATGATTATGTATAGATATATGTATATATGTATATATGATTATGTATATATATATGAATATATATATATATATGTATATATAAATGTATATATATATGTTTGTATATATATGTATATATATATATATGTATATATATGTATGTATATATATGTATATATATATGTATATATGTATATATGTATTTATGTAAATATGTATATGTATATATATATGTATTTATATATGTATGTATGTATGCATGCATGTATGTATGTATGTATGTGCATGTATGTGCATGTATGTGTATGTATGTATATGTATGTATATGTATGTATATGTATGTATATGTATGTATGTGTATGTATATGTATGTATATGTATGTATATGTAAATGTATGTATATGTATGTATATGTATGTATATGTGTGCATATGTATGTATATTTATGTATGTGTATTTGTATGTGTATGTGTATCTATGTATATGTATGTATATGTATGTATGTGTATGTATATGTATGTATGTGTATGTATGTGTATGTGTATGTGTATGTGTATATGTGTGTGTATATGTGTGTGTATATGTATGTATGTATGTATGTATGCATGTATGTATGCACGTATGCATGTATGTATGTATGTAGGTGCATGTATGTGCATGTATGTGTATGTATGTGTATGTATGTGTATGTATGTGTATGTATGTGTTTGTATGTATATGTATGTGTATATGTATGTATATGTATGTATATGTATGTATATGTATGTATGTGTATGTACGTGTATGTGTATGTGTATGTGTATGTATGTATATGTATGTATGTGTATGTATATGTATGTATGTGTATGTATATGTATGTATATGTATGTGTATGTATGTATATGTATGTATATGTATGTATATGTATGTATATATATATGTGTATATATATATGTATGTATATGTATGTATGTGTATGTATGTGTGTGTATGTGTATGTATAAGTATGTATATGTATGTATATGTATGTATCTGTATGTATATGTATGTATATGTATCCACGTTATGCTGTGAAACAATATATACCTGTTATCTCCCATTGGAAACTCAATTGGTCACTTGCGCGATTTGTTTCTTCGTTTTCTCCTCATGTGACACTAGGCAAAGCTATTCTGCAGTGCATCCAAAAATTCTTGGCGGCATGTCCCTCATGTCGGTCAAAAATCCTTCGCCTTTTTGGTAATGTGGTAAACCCAATGATAAACCCATCATTTGGGGATGGCCTATGTGCACCCATTCATGGCCATATCGGGGATGGTTTACAACTGGGTTTACCATCTATAGGTTATTGAATCCCCAGTAAATTAGGTAGTATAAGTCCCTATACCAATCAACCAAGCTATTTTTAATGGTTCAAACTGGGTTTACTATGGTTTATATACATCTTACTCCATGGCAAAAGTCATGCCAGAACTCCCCAGCCACAAAGTCCACTGGGACTCCGTGACCCCTCCAGCTGCAGAAGAGCGGACTCTCGGGCGCGCACCTGACTGGATCTGGATCGCTGAGGATTTCCGAGACGCTTACGAGGTTGGTACAAGACATATCCACCAGGAATTCAACAGGTGTGATAGTTCTTTCAACCAATTGTTACCTATCATACTATCATGTGTTTGAAATAATAAGTGGAATACCAGTGAATATCATAGTTCTATTAATGCATCCCCCTTAAACACGTAAAACCCTCCAGAAACCATGATTTAGTAGGGAATGAAGTAGCACATTTGGGATCCTACGATTGGTTTGTTTCATATGAGCGGGGGATGGGATTATCAACTACTGTACAGTGTATACATTTTTATATGTATATATATGTATATATATATATATCGACAATGGTATTTACCATACATTAACCATATATCACCCATGTGTGCCATGGTCAAAACATGGTATATGGTTATGGTCATTCATTTCACAATGGGAATTCTTATCAAGGACATATGAGTCAACCACATATCAACCATACATCAACCACATATCAACCATATATGTCAAGCATCTAATTGTCAACCATATATCAACCATACATTAACCCCATAATGGTTCACCATATACTTCGCCACATCTCCACGAGATCTCCAGATCTCCGTGCGCGATATCGTCGTTCGTTCTTTTGTTTCGCGCTTCGGTCAGGGCGGCTTTTGGAGTAAGGTCTCCAGCAGCTGGCCCAAGCTGTGGTCCGGATCCGTGCTGAGCGCCACCAACAGCGCGCCCAAGGACGTCAGCATCGCCTGAAGTGCAGTTGGATACATCACTTATTAGTATTTAATAGTTGGATCGTATAGTTGGATAGTATAGTTGGATAGTTAACTATGAGTATGATACTATTGATTTAATAGTTAGATAGTAAAAAAAAAAACTAGTCTATTGATTGATTATTATTGATACATCTAGACCACTATTGAGTATAACCCCATGTAAAAATCAACCAATAGTCATAGAATAACAATTGGACAATAATTGGATAATAATGGAATATTAGTGGAATGTTAATGGAATATAATACTATTACAGCTATATACATATACATATATATACATACATACATAAATATATGTATGTATATGTATATACTGTATATGTATATCTATATATGTATGGGGAAGGGTCAAAACCATGTACTCCTGGTGAACATCAAAATAGCTGCTACAGTACATGGATGTTCATCCCAAAACAATGGTAGGTAAAGGTATTCATCCAAAGCCATATTTATATATATATATATTTATATATAATCATTCTGGAGTAGATAGAATATGGGATTTTGAAAGATACCCCCATTTTGGTGAGATTTTTTGAAATGTCATATGTAAGTACATGCAAATTAGTCTTACAATACAAATATACCGGCCGTAATGATGTAAAACCAATTAGACAGAGAGGGAGAGAGAGAGAGGGAGAGAAAAACATGAATAAAAATAGAGAGCGAGAAAGAAAAGGAAAGAAGGAAAGAATGAAGGGAGCAACGAAGGAAGAAAGAAACAGAAGCAAACTACATAATATGTGTATATATATATTATCGCGATAATCACGATATTCCCATTAGATATCCATCATACGTAGATATTCCCATTAATATTCCACTGATATCCGATTAATATCCCATTCATCTCCCATTAATAGATCATTCATTTTCCATTGATACAGTATTCCAATAATTACCATTCATATCGATGGTCAAGTATTGTTTAAGAGCTATGTTAGGTGATTACGGCAATCCCATGGTTCCAATGATTGGCTTCAACACATAGCTCCAAGCTTTGAAGGCGCGTTCAACTCCGATGCTGCTCAGCGACTGAGGTGATGAAGCCTCAAGAGGCTGGCCAAATGCAACTTTTTTTCGGCTGGTTAGCCTCCAGTGAAGTAACTTGGATGTGGAAAAGTCCCCATTTATACATCCTTTCTTAGGTAAACCATGGAGATTCGATATCTTGTTACTTGAATCCACATTGTTCCAAACTAAATCTCAACGCTTTTGTTGGCCCCAAGTTTCTACTCCTCAATTTCCCAACGTTTATCAGTTAAGTCCCAAATTTTCATGGTCAACTGCCATCAACTCCCAAGTCTTGTCAAGTTTTATCAGTCAAATCCCAAGTTCTATCAATAAAAGCCCAATTCTTATCAGTAAAAGACCAAATTTTATCACTAAAAGCCATGTCTTTCTCAGATAAATCCCAAGTTGTATCACTGAAATGAGTGATCAAAATTGCATATAGCCCAAAATTCTTGGATGCTTCCGACTTAAATCATCTAAGCCATCTTTGGTCCAGGTCTTTAATTTTTCCGAGTTATCACCATTTTTTGTGGCTCAACTCCTACCCTCCACAGCGCCAAATTTTTTTCGCCGCGCCTGCCAGGTCCAGTTCGCCCTTGCCGAAGGTCACGGCGGAGCAGAGGCTGCCGCCAGCGGCGCCCACAGCGATGCGGAGAAAGCGACGCGGCACGAAGCGGGACTCGGCCTGGGGAGCTGATCAGAAAAATTGTTTTTTTCGTAACTATGGATATCAATGGTTTGATATTAACCATTGATCTTAACTAAATGGTTTGATATCCATGAGTAACTATGACATTAATGGATGTCAATGATTTGATGATTATTAGTCATGATCATACCATTGGTTGATAATTATAAGAAACTATGATATTAATGGATATCAAAATGGTATAAATGATTAAATTTGTAACTATGGAGTGCTATGAATCTGGAGTATTATTGTTATTAAAAGTACTGGGATTTATTATTCTTGTAAATATTGACTATCATCAACTGTATAAACAATGTCAGTATCATAATTCAAATATCTATACTACAGTAGCCGCTTTATAGTTATTAGGTTTTACTAGTGGTGAAGTACTTACTAGTGAATTACAATTATCTGGTTTTTCATAGATGGGGAATTTTACTTGTTATGTTTTCTTAGTGGTTGGAGCCAGTTAATAGATGGTGATATACTTACTAACTATACGTATATCATACTGTTACTATTTAGTATAATCATTAGTGATCATTATTGACGAGGTGTTTCTTTTGTAGGTTTCACGATTAAACTATTGATATCTACTATTTATTATCATGAATGATTACCATCTCCACATTATAGTAATGATAATTCATGATTTATTGGATAGTCACAGTATAGTTAGTAAGAAAGTAGTTGATAATAAAGTCGAGAAATAAAAGAAAAGTTGTGGTTAGTAATTTAAGAGTTTGCTATGGTAAAAATTGTTCATTTACTTCGATGATTTACCAAACTTAAACCGTGTTATTTTGCGTACCTATGTTACACCCATAGGGTAATAATGTAGATAAGTGACGTGGAGTTAGGAATAGAGTAGTTTGTTGATAGACGTCATCACAACGATATTGAATGATTGTGGTAAGAGTTCATACTTGCTGAGAATCATTGCAATTGTTCTTAGCAGTATTTTCAGATAATAGTAGACATCACAACTAGTACTAGGAGGAATCAAAAATAGCTGCTATCATCCATAACTACTATCATTCAATAGTATATAATGATTGTCAACTATGATAGCTGAGCTTGGTGTTAATCATTACTAGATTTATGAGTACATAATAATTCGCAGATAGGTTGTCATACCCATTACTATCATTGTTTGTAGTAAAAACAATAGTACTGTAATAACGGCAGTACTAGTAAGAACTATGATGAGTGACACCTTTTATTTAAAAGAAAAAACAAGTAGTAACAGTGATGCTAAATAGTATAATCACAATACCAGTTGATATTGAAAATAGCAACAACAGTTGCAAAAATCGAAGTAATAGAAATGGAAGTGAGAATGATACATAGTATGGCTGTGAAGTTTGCAATCGTATAGTTGCTAAACATCACTAGATAGTAACATAGTAACAAAGAATAGTGGTGAATATATAGAAATAATGACAACAAACATAGTTGCAATAACATTACACACAGACCCCGAGGTTTGCCCAAGAACAGAACAGCGTAAAGACCAGTGATTTTTCAACAACCTGAAACAAAACAAATGAACTTCTGTTGAGGCAGTGAGCATTGATGCGGCTTGGCAAGAGAACTGTACTGCTATTGGGGTTTCTTTGAAGGTTTAGACAAGATACAGAATCTCCACCCCGATGGAACAATTAACCATACCGTAATTAGGGCTTCTTGTCAGATTTGCATAAGATATAAAACCTCCCACCTCCATGGAACAACTAATCAGACCCTAATTGGGGTTTCTTTAATGGCTCTGTAACATATAGAATCTCCCACCCCCATGGAACAATTCACCATACCCTACTTGGCGTTCTTTGAGGGCGTTTATATAAGATATAACATCTGCCACCCCCAGGGAACAAGTAAACATGCCGCAAGTAAGGTTTCTTGTCGGGCTTACACAAGATTAAAAAGTCCCGCCCCCATGGAACAAATAACAGTACCATCTTCACAATCATTATCACATTCATATTTATGTGCATGTTCATATTTATGTTCATGTTCATGTTGTTCATCGTCATCATCATCATCATCATCATCATCATCATCATCGTCATCGTCATCGTCGTCGTCGTCGTCGTCGTCGTCGTCGTCGTCACCGTCACCGTCACCGTCACCGTCATCATCATCATCATCATCATCATCATCATCATAATCATCGTCATCGTCATCGTCATCATCATCATCATCATCATCATCCTCATCATCATCGTGATGGTTTGCGTGGACGCTCGTTGGGAGTCTGGGCAAACCTCCGAAACTCTTGCCATACTCCTAGTCGTAGAGATTATGACTAATACATAGTAGATCAGAGCAAGAAATAGTTATGATAGCAATGATGGCAACATCTGTATCAAAACATAACTCTATATATATATTCATCAACTATAATTACTATAACGCGTTTTCATGCTATGACAACAGAAATCAGTATAACGATTATAGTAATAGTAGTAGTGACAACAGCTGATATACCGCTGAAAACCGCAAGTTGCGACCGCGGCCTGGCCGCGCCTTGTGCATGTTGGCCGCACCGTGCGCACCCAGGGAGGCGCCCAAAGATTGAAACATCAACTGGGCCCAACTGGGCCCACTGAGCAGCAAACCCATGGATCCAAAGACCTACACGATGGAGAGCTCAACGTTGGTGCCCAACAAGGATCCCATTGCTGTTGGTAAATCAAGAGATTGAAGCAGGAAACTTCACTGTCAAGCCCGGATGAAAAAAATAAATCCCTGTTCAATTGTAGGGGCCCATTGGCTCATCTACCCATTGATCACTTTTTGTGGGTACTGTAACCGAACGAACATTTGAATAGGACAAAACATTACGATGTCATTTTTAAAAAAGAATCAAAAAGGAATAAAACCGAAAAAAATGGAGAAAAAAGAAGTAGGTTAAAAAAAAAAAAACGTCTCCTTCCCAACGAGCTGGGCTAACGGCTTAGCCGACGAGCGACAACGGCAAAAAGAAGCGCACCACCTCAGAAATCCGAAAGGCTGAACTGCCAATGGTTTTTCTAGTGTTTGTGTTTGTGTGTGTGTGTTACATACATATATATATATGCGCAATTATATGCAAGATACATACTATATACCATACATACTATGCGAATTATACTACTACGGTGTGTTCTGTGCATATCAGTGCATATCTACAGTATATACATGAAAGTCAAGAACAAGAAATGTTTCCAAAGACTGGAAGTGCACCGTTCGTATCTGCTTCCAGAGTGGTATACAAAAAAAAGTGGAGACACCCTAGCCAGTGAAATCTTATACACCACGATATTTACTGTAAGAATTGAACAAGAAGGCGTGTAAAATTCGTTGCAATGCCTTAGTCCCAGAATTGGTTGCAAGCTAGCACCTCACACCCGTCATTGCCGTCGAGAGGCCTAAGATTCCAGGAACGCACACATTGGGCACTAAAAGTTCCTGGCGCCTCATGGTAAAGGATGGAGCCCCATTCAGTTGCCTGAGTTGGTCTCTGGTGCTTGTAAACCAACGTAACGCTTGGGGGGTTTACCACCACCTGGAGCTGATAATTCGCTTGGAATGGGGCTAGAATGGCACGGGAATACCCAGCTGAAACGGTGCCAACCAGGACAAAAAAAACCTGGACGCTGCCACCATTGGATTTTGGAGCTGTTTTCTTATGTTCCATAATTCTTGGGCAGTTTGGAATTCCAAGTCATCCTCAAAGTAAATTCCAGATGATCGTCATCGGCCACCCGGCCCCGAAAAGCATTGGAAGGGCTGATAGCCCAATGTTTGCTGCTTCATAGCCCAATGTTAGTGCACGTGCAGTTTACATTATAATATATGCCTATAAAGTGTATATAATCTAATATCATATATATATAACATCATATAACTATAATACATCAAGAGATATCATATCTCCATCTTCTAAACCTTGAATATCTTCAAACAACCACCCCACCCCACCAGCTCCCAAGCTCACTGCCTCGTTGTCAATTTGCAACATGTCTTCGTTCTTCCGCCGCGCACGTTCCGCGAACTCCACCGGCACCGGCGGCAACGTCGTTCCGACGACACTTCCCACAGAAACGCCCGGCTCGGTGTCCGTCATAGCGGCAATGATCCGACAGCAGGGTGGGAAAAAGACGTCAAAACACGTTCGATCCACGTGTTTAGGGTGGATCGAGCTGGCACTCTCAAGCGAAGGATGGAAATGAAGAAAACCGATGGGAAAATGATGGATCGAAGGACTGTTGGGGGATTTCCGCCCAAAGTCCACTTGGGCATCCAAAAATCCACCAACTCACAGTAGCTTCATCCGGCTAAGGTATGTACCAGCAGGATCTCTTAGTGAAGCTAGTCACTACCAAGCTGTTGTCTTCTAGTTTCAGAATGCTGTGATGTCATGTGATTTCCAGAGAGTTCAATTCCAAATCGGAATAGGTCTGAGGACTTCAGGTGCTTTGTACATCCTACCAGTAGCACTGCCACAATTTGCTGGACATTCCACAGTTTCTACTGAGCCTTTGAAAACTTTAAACCTGCGGAGCCGACCGAGACGAACCACGAAATACATCTGGCATGACACTGGCAGTTGTTTCTATTAGTCTCGATTTGGTTGGCAACACATTCTCTTGGCCAAATCGCAATTGCCTTGCTTGAATCCCAGTCTTTCTATCACTTTTCGAACAAATATTCTTGGTTGAATCACCGTTAATCTTGCTTGAATCACCAATTTTCTGGGTTGTTTTGCGATGTTTCTGCGTTGGAGCACCATTTTACTTGCTTCTAAATGCCATCTTTGACCTTGACCCCCCATCCTTTGACACATCCCTGCCTCGCGTGTGACACGCTCTCGGAGGTCGCCCAGGTCAGACAAGAGCTGCTGCTGAGCTGCCTTGCTTTGTCAACAAAATGGCTCAGTACTGGGTCATTTGTGGCTCCATATGGATTCGTTGGATGCTATTAATCACTTGGGTATATTTTTGCTTCATTGTTTGGCTAATTTGTATACCAATTATACCATCCATAGGTCTACCATAGGTCGTATACAAAACTCTAAGAGTTTTGGTTATACTATACATTGGCATTACCAAAAATTAGTTGGTTTAATTGCTTGGATGGTATAATCCAACTGTACCAAATTTGAAAGGATTATACCGTCCTATACCACAATCAAGACTTCTAGATGTATTGCTTTGCGGACGTATTGGATGTACGGTAAACCCATCTAATCCCAAAAAGTCTTTCCAGATATCGAAGTGTCTGGCCATAATCCAACCAGGTGAAACCAGTGACCCATCTGCCATTCATCATTTTCTTTGGCTTATCATTTTCACCCAAAAAAAGTTCAACCAAAACCATGGTGGGTGTCCCAAAAATGTGGAATTTTCCAGGTGGGAAACCCCCAAAAATGTTACTTCCCTGGAATTTTCCCCACCTTTGCAAACCCCATGGCTTCCTTGCGCCATAGCTGGCCGCCTCCGCCTTGTCCTCTCGCAGCTGCCAATTGCGCAGCAGGGATTGCACCTCTTGCGATGTGGCCTGGGCGACTGGATGACCGGTAGAAAAATGGTTGTGAAACATGGAAAAAGTGGTACCTGGTAAAACATTGTTTTATTTATATGGTTTTGTATGGTTTTGTGAGGAATTTAACCAACAAAAATGGTGGTATGGATAACGATGGCATAATGGGGATATATATATATATATATAATGGGGATAGCGTATGGAATATTAGTGGAATATGACTATGAGTGGAAAATTCATGGAATTGGTTAATACCTTTCAGTAATCAAACGTGGCTGGCAGGAAAAATCATCAAAACACATGGTGGATTTTCCAGCAAACCACGTTTGATTGCCGAAGGGTAAAGATTGATGTTGTGTGCTGTTTGAAAGATTGGTACGATTGGGGTAAGCTCTCTTAGTGTGATTTTACATGTACTTTAAAAATTGGGTGCCTATAAAAATTGAAAGTTTCTGTTTGGTGTGAGTGTTTGGACCTGCAACCCTGCCGGACCATGGCCTAGCCTTTGACAAATGTTGGCAAAAACTCTGATAAGATCAAATCACCTCCATATTTTAATACCTGATGATGGAACATCCCCTGATATTGCTTTTTGTTGATACTTGCTGCTTTCTTTTATATGGAGAAGGACAGTTGCTATGACTAATTATGATTGTAGTGAATGCAGGACCAGGTCCCAAGAAGTGTCTTTGGATTGTCTTAGGATTGAAAAAACATCAAAAAAAACTTGATATTGGCATGTTTGGGGTCCCGTTTAGTCGAGGGCCGGGGGTGTGAGTCAGCCCCATTTTGATGGACATCACCACCAGTTGCAATGGATAGTCATGACGGATAAGTTGGTTTTCAATGTGGTCTATCGTAATAGAAGAAATGATTGTAATCCCATCCCCCCAATATATCAAATATCTCCAATAAGGTTCCACCTGGATTCCCGGGTCGGGTATCAAACCCATCCCATGTACGGTGGGACCCGCCCAAAAAAAATGGAAACCCAAAAACCTGTGGAAAACTCCTAGAATACCCAGAAGCATTATACAATATTATATACAGATATTTACATGTGTTTACATACAGTAGATCTCATATCTGATATAATTATATATATATGTATATAATCATATAGTATAGAAAATCACCATCTTATAGGTAAATCAACTATTTCTATGCCATTTCCACTGGGGCCTCCGGACAGCACCTTGCTGCCGCCGTTCCTTGACCTCCAAGAATTCAGCGGCCGTTTCTCGGGACCAACATGGAGCAAAACAACGTGGAAGATAGGTGGAAGCATGGTGATATATGTGTATATACTACAATATATATATATATATGGTATATCAAATATATATATATAATTTTGAATATATACTATATATATATACACTAATGTATACATATAAATATATACTATATATATACATATACTATCCATACTATACTATATCCCCTATATATACTGTATATACTATATATACTAAATATATACTGTGTATATATATATATATAAACTGTATGTATATATATATACTCTATGTATATATATATATATACTGTATGTATAAATATATATATATACTGCGCATATATATTATATATTTACTGTACATATCACGGTTTCACAGTTATATATGACATAACAATGTGTCAACCCTGAATTAATCAACCCCTAGGCTTGTGATTTACAAGTTGGGCCACAAAATTATGTTGTTGTTGTTTTTTTAATGATTTGTTGAATGATTTTCGGCTGATTTTTCAGATATGATTTGGATTTTTTGCAAAAAAAAAATATGAAATTTTTATTTGTTTTGATTTTTTTAATGATTTTGTTAATGTTTGTTTAATGTTTTTTGGTAATAAGTAACAAATTTCATGTTTTTTTCCCCAAATATATAGTGTGGCCACACTGAGGGGTTCTTACGGTAAGTGTTAAGGCCCGGTGTTCATTCGAGGTGGTATCGATGTCCCCGGTCGTCGCGTACGGCATTTTCCCTGTAAATTTCCACACAAAATGGCTCTTGTGAAATGTCCATGCGCATTTCACCCGCGCAAGCTCGCACAAAGTGTGCTTCTCGGTCTTGGGATCGATCTTCCTCCTCAACATCATCATCTTCCTCCTCCTGCACATCAACATCATCCTCTTCCTGTCATCACCATCGTCATCGTCATCGTCGTCGTCGTCGTCGTCGTCGTCGTCGTCGTCATCATCATCATCACCATCATCATCTCCATCATAATCATCATCATCATCATCATCGTCATCATCAACAACATCCTCATCATCATCAGCAACATCATCAACATTAATTAATATCATCGTCAACCTGAGACCGGACCCGTGAAATCGCAATTTTACCCCAGTTTTTGGCGATCGAACATCATTTCGCGTGTAAGGGTTGCGATTGACACCTCAAAATCACAATTTTATCGCAATTTTACCTCAGTTTTTGACGTCCAACGTCCATTTCGCGTGTAACTGTTACGATTGACACCTCAAAATCGCAATTTTACCTCAATTTTTGACGTCCAACGTGCATTTCGTGCGAAAGGGTTGCGTTTCGTGGCGCCCCGGCGGCACCGCCCCCGCCTTAAGAGAGAGAGATAGAAAGAAGAGCGAGAGAAGATGTGAAGTGTGAAGATGTAGATCTGCAGGTGTGAAGGTGTGAAGATGTAGATCTGCAGATGTCAGGGTGTGAAGATGTAGATCAGCAGATGTGAAGGTGTGAAGATCTAGATCTGCAGATGTGAGGGTGTGAAGATGTAGATCAGCAGATGTGAGGGTGTGAAGATGTAGATCAGCAGATGTGAGGGTGTGAAGATGTAGATCAGCAGATGTGAAGGTGTGAAGATGTAGATCAGCAGATGTGAAGGTGTGAAGATGTAGATCAGCAGATGTGAGGGTGTGAAGATGTATTATAACGGCTGCTTTTTTACGAAGAACCCTTCGCAGGCGCTCTCGGGAATAAAAGGTTAATTGTGGCTAAATTCACCTACTACCTGGTGGACCAATATAGGCTCTATTTTTGCTCCCTGGAAGAATTTTGAAGCTTAAGGTGGGCCAATATAGGCCTTATTTTTGTTCAGCGGGCGAATTTTGAAGCTTAAGGTGGACCAATATAGGCCCTATTTTTGCTCCCTGGATGCATTTCGAAGCTTAAGGTGGGCCAATGTAGACCCTATACCTGAGGGGAATTTTGAAGCTGACCACAGCTATACTGTAGAAAAAAAAGGCAGGGAAGGCAACAATATTTAGGCAGGGAAACACAGCTACTAAGCCACTACCACTGAGAGCTGAAACTGCTTAGGGTTCCAGGATTTAAGGCGAGCAGAGAGGGTTCAAAACCCTAAACCCACTCCGGGGACAGGGTGACATCTTGTGGATAGGCTCCAAAAGCGTCATTTAAAACACATAAAAAAAAATAAACATTGAAAAAACATAAACAACATCATTCCCCCAAAAAACAAGCATTTAAAAAACTTGTTTAAAACAAATCCAAAAATTCAATTTGATGACAATGTTTATGTTTTTTTAAATGATGATTTATGTTTTTTTAAATGAGTTTGTATTTTGTTTAAATGATTTATTATGTTGTTAATGAGTTTTTGTGATTTGATAATGTTTTTTGTGTGATTTTTTAAGGGTTGGTTCGCCAAAGGCACTCGCTTTTGATTTTTTGGAAGAGGTCATGGCACAGAAACCAGGCACATGATATAATAAGATAGAGGTATACCGTCATTATATATATATATACACGGCCTCTGAGCTGGAGACAAGGTTGGAGCAGAAGAAGCCCGGAGCGGAAGCGGGCACCACCCCAGTCTTCGCCTTAAAATGGCTTGCGAATGCTTGCGATGCAGTACAATCAGAAGAAAACAAGAAACGGAAGTCGGTAGAATTTAAGGCAGGGACCGACGGCGGCTTGGCAGGGCTGGTGGCGCCCTCAAGGCAAAAGAAAGATTTGGCATTCAAAGAAAAACAAGGCCAAGTTTCAAGGCTGCCATGATTCATGCGATGGCGATTTGAGGCCGCGACCGCTCCAGCTCCAGGGTCTTTGTGCGAAGGTGCCGCGCCGCGGTGCTTTGCCGCCTGAAACATTGAGGAGTCCAACGACACGAGCGCAGGGCCAAGTTCCAAATATTCCCAAGCCCCGCCTTGGCGCGCTCCTTCGCAACCTTGTTGCGCCAGCGCTTCTCGCAAGGTGCGAGTCCCTGGGCATCGGCGTGTCGGGGTGTTGCATGATGCAAACAGATGATGCAGGCAGACTGAGGCTGCAGCGCTGGCGTTCTTCTTACACTCCGGCTCGGGCAAGAAGATGCCACCGCGGGGGCGCGGTGCCTGCACGGCCAGGACCAGGAAAGTTTGCTTTGAAAAAAAAAACAGTCAGCGACGCTGCCTTCTTCTTACGCGAGCCGTCCAAGGACTTGGTGGAGCTCTTCAATGTCAATGGCACCTGACAGGTGGCAAGCAACCTATACCCGGATTGACGCGATGGAATATCGTCCCAAAACTGCTGGGCCTCCACCGCCTCCTGCAGTTCTTCAAGGAGTACCGGGTTCTGGAGGACGTAGTCCTGTCAGGAAGGGATACCCAAACCCGAAAGCAAGCAGCCGTGCCTCCAGAGGCACCGGTGCCTGGCATGCTGCAAGGCAAGCGATTCAGGTGCACTTGTCGGTGCACCATCCCAAACGCGCCTCCTCGAGCTCGACGTCGGCCCAGCGGCCGTTGAAAAAAGTGATATCTCCGGTGCCCTGGGTCCTGGGCCCTAGTGACTTAGTGGGCAGCTGGCAGCAAGCAACTGGAAACCGAGCAAAGAAACTAGGCCTAGGCATAGGTCACTAAGTCTGAACTGATCACGCACCCTTCCAAGCTCAAAGCAGGACCCCTGAGCAAAACTCACAACTGGTAGTGTTCACAGCTAGCTATCAAATCAAAGCTGTCTGATAATTGCTCACCAAATCTTCTCAGACAAAAAATGATTACTGTACACAATGTTACACATTTAAAGATTCACTTGCTAAGTTTACTGCTAGTTAGCTAGTTGCTGCTAGCTGTCGCTAACCGTTAGCTGCTAGTTGCTAGCTGCTAGCTAAACTGTTTGCTGACCAACTGGGCCCGACAGTGACATCGCCCTGCCCCCCCCTTCAACTCACCCCCCACCCACCACAAAGACAAGATAAATGAAATAAATAAATTTATGTATAAGACAAAGTGTCACTGGTCATCCCTGATCCCTACTGCCTCGCTGCCAGCCAGGTGCAGGTTGAGATGTCTGCAAAATCTGCCGTCCAAATTATTTTGCCGGATAAAAACAAAAAATGCCGCCAAATAATTGCAAAACTGTTGTTTGTTCGCTGTTCTCAACGTGTTTGGTTCAAATTTGCCAAGCAAAAAATGTTTTGTGGTTGTTCAGGTCGATTCAGTCAACTCAATGTTTGTCCCTCATCAAAAAACACACATAAGAACTCGACTTGACAGTTTGCCAGCCCAATTTCCAATCAGGTCAGCTAGCAACTATCTATCAGCTCTCAGCTAGTTCAGCTGACATGAACAGACGCAAAACCGCAAAACAAAAAATAAATAACGCAAATCCATTAGTAAAAAAACACTTTAAAAACAAAAAACATTCCAAAAAAATAATATAACATTGATTTAAAAATATATATTTTTTTTAATCATTTTTAAAGTCAGAAAAATAGAAATTAAGAAATAAACATTTTTTGAATAAACAAAAAAGTATTTTAAAAAATTGAAAAAAAAACATTAAAAAACATTGACAAAGGTAAAATCGGTTTTAAGCGAAAATTTCCAATCATAAATGTCATCACACAAAATCATAAATGTTCATTTAAAAAAAAACGTATTTGTTTCATTTAAAAAAACAAGCATATTTTTGCGGCTGTTTTCAAACTCACAACCCTAGGCTGTTTTATTCAGTGGAAAATATAACATTATAACAGGTGAAATAGCACGTTTCCATAACACGTCCAACATTAAAAACAAATCCCAACGATAAAAAGTTATGAAAACATGGTTTTCAATAGAAGAGTTATATAACAGGTATATATATATAACAGTAGTTATATAACAGTTATATAGCCAATATAACCAACCATTTTTTCCGAAGCCCGGCCGCCTCGCCCAGCAGGTCTTCCCGCAGCGCGTCCAAGGCGCGCTGCAAAGAGATGGAAGCCTCGAGGGAGTTTTCAGCAACGAAAAATGGTGGTAGAATGCTCATTAAATAGCTATGGTTACATCAACAAATGGTGATTTAATAATGATGCAATGCCCTTTAAATCGGATTTAAATGGGTTTTAATGGATTTCAATGGGAAAAATATCGATGGTTAATGATGGTCAATGATGGTCAATGATGGTCAATGATGGCTAATGACGGTTAATGATGGTCAATGATGGTCAATGATGGTTAGTGATGGTTAATGATGGTTTGTGGTGGGTAAAGATGGTTAATGATGGTTAGTGATGGTTAGTGATGGTTAATGATGGT